TTGACTAGAGTGGAGGTGGCCTTTGCTGCTCCACCTCTGGCAGCAGAATATCTTACTACTTTTGGTGTGTCAAGCAAGGGGAAAGTTGTGCCTCTTCCCCTCTTTAACAACCACCATTTCTCTTTTATTCCTCCCTTCATGAGCAATTTTCCATGTTTGCAAATAGAGGTTACGCTGTCATTGACTATATTTTCTTTGCCACAAGGATATGAACTCTAAAATTGTATAGATCTTTTTCAGAACTTCTGATACATCAGGGCAGGCCTGGCCTCCATATAATCAGCTGACAGATGTTCACATAGGCCAAGTACTATCTGCATAATAGAATATTATATGCATATTTACATCTCTCTTCCCCCAAACCTGAGGTCGGTTTGAGCATACAAAGAGGTGATGCATTAAGTGTCATTTCATCTATATCTTTATTTGTTCTGTGCTGCAGAATTTGTCCCTCCACCACCCGCATTTCATGGAGAGGATAGATGACCACCTTGTTTTCTGTTTCTTTGTGTGTCCTCACCCCCCCACCCCACCCACCCCGCCATTCATCTGCATATCTAGGAGAATATAGGTGGTTATATGGAAAATGGAATCAATATAAAAGCAGCTCAACAAGCCTCCTAGTCCATAGTGGCCAACCAGACATTATTGGAAACATGCAAGGACATAGGTACAAAGGCATCCTCACCATGGAGGGGACCCTTAGAAATTTTTCCCTGATAAGTCAATGCCCCTTCTTCCCTCCTCCAGGGCAAAAAACATTTACATGGCAGTGATTGCAAGTGGTTGTGTACTAGTTGGCATTTTCCAGCCTCCAGCCATCATTTAAATTCTTCTGGATGTTGTGGTGTAACCTCCAATTGTCCCGATCTGTCAAGGACAGTCCTGATTAATCTTCTGTCTTCCCACTTTTTCAGCTGCCTTTAAAATGTCCCAGTTTCTCTCTCCTTCTCATACTTTCCCCCTTTGTCTTCAGTCTACTTCCATTGGTGCAAACTGAATTCAAAATGCAAAAGAATTTTGCACTCAATTAACTCAGCAGTGAGGAGAGAAGAAGAGGGGGAGAAATCTTGCCCATCCTGGTATGCTCAAACAGCTGCTGCCTCTCCTAGTTTGCGTATTTTTCATCCTTAATACCTTTTGTCACCTCGACCACACTCTGATGTTGCTTGGTCATATGTGTCCCAGTTTCACCTGTGAAATTATTATTATTATTATTATTATTATTATTATTATTATTATTATTATTATTAAATATTTATACCCCGCTCTTCAGCCAAAAGGCTATCATGTTGGAGGATACATTGCTACATGAGAGGCTTTGTGGGAAATTTTAAATGGCAGTATATTGCCTGGCAGAGAGCCACTGTGGCATAGTGGTTTGAGCATTGGACTACGACTCTGGGGACCAGAATTCAATTCCCAGCTTAGCCATGGAAATCAATGGGTGACCTTGGGTGTGTCACATGCTCTCAGCCTCAGGGGAAGGCAATGGCAAACCTCCTCTGAAATCCTGCCAAGAAAACCCTATGATAGGTTTGCCTTAGCATCGGCATAAGTCAGGAATGACTTGAAGGCAGACAACAACAAAAATGTTGCATGGCACTGATCACTGGGCCTAGAAAAGACAACTGTTAAGAAGAATCTGTGAGGTTCTGGGATTCTGGCCCAAGATGCTGCATGCTGATGCCAAGCCTGCGCAAATGCCATAGCCCAAGAACCGAGCCTATCATTAGGCAGAGTGAGGTGACTGCCTCAGTTGACAAGAAGCTAAAGAAGTATCAACATCAACCCTTAACTGTTGTTCTGAAGGCCACTGGCTAGTCCTTTCTGTTAGGAGACACAGTTGTGTACTGTGTGGTCTTTTCTGCACCCTCTAAACTGGCTTGTTGCTCTTAAGTACAGATGTGTTTCCATTCTCAGCATGTGGAATACAAAAGCAGGTGCCACCTGATACGCCACGGGGAGAAAAATTGGATGGTCCTGAATATTCCTCCCCCATTCCTGTTCTCTATGAAGTGGTATAAAAAGGCACACTGCCTCTGATACTGAAAGTCATTTGTCTAATCCCCATTTTAAGTCATCTCAGTTGATAACCACCATCACGTCTTGTGGCAGTGAATTCAATAGTTTAACTATGTGCTGAGTAATGTTTGTGGGGTTCTCTGTGGGAAAATTTGTGAAACATCTTTAAAGTTCTGTACAAATGCAAGTGGTTTAAAAAAAAAACCAACCCGCCAACAGTTATGCATGGTATGAAGATTTTTGATGATTTATTTTTATATTTTTTTTATAATCTTAACTTCCAATATGAGGAGAGAGCTAAATAAACATTTAGAATTATTTTTTATTTTAAACACAAACTTAAATGTCACTGTATCACATTTGACTTAAATGTGACTGCCGTGTGGTGCAGTGATTTGTGTGTTGAACTATAACTCTTGAGGCATAGTTTGGCCATGTAAACCCACTCAGGTAACGCTGGGCAAGTCACAGTCTCTCAGCCTCAGAGGATGGCAATGACAAACCCCCTCTGAAGAAACGTACCAAGAAAACCTCATGATATGGTCACAATAAGTCAGAACCAACTTGAAGGCTCACAACAACAAAAATATCATGGAATTAAAACCGGAATCTGATTGCTTTCCATATTTGAATTTCTGAAATTCAAGGCTGCAGAATGGAATTGCCCAGGCAGCCACAGCTAGGCAGAAAGAAAAGACTCAGGAAGGATACTTTGGCTTGAAACTGGAGGGATATGCATACTCTTCAACTGTCCTGATTTGGCAGGAACAGTTGTGATGAACCCTGTTGTCATCCCACATTCCCCCTTTGTTCTCAGCTTACTTCAGTTGCTGCAAATTGAGTTCAAAGTGTAAAAGCAGTTTGTACTTATTTAACTCAGCAGGAGGGAGAGGAGAGGCAGAATCCTACCCTTCCCAGTAGACTTTGGCAAAAGCAAACTGCTGCAGCCTGTCTGAGCTTATCTGTTATTCCTCATTAATAACTTTTGCCCTCTGGTGTTGCTTGGCCACATGAGTCCCAGTTTTCATCTGTAAAATGTTGGAGAATGTGAAAGTGGCAGCTCCTAATTAATTCAAGGCTCTAATGAATGCCTTAGGCATTCCTGCCTGAAGCACCCAAATGTACTGTGATGGGACTCACTCCCAAATAAATGTGGATAGAAGATAATGGAGTTAGGATACAATGCCCACATTTGTTGCAAGGGCTATTCTGCTCGGTGGACCGCGCTTTTCTGACTGCTAAGACAGCTAATTTTCATTTCTGTTGTTTCCCCTGAGAAATAGCACTGAATGTTTTTATTCCCAGTGCTTCAAATTCTAAAGGCTTTTCTCTGAACCCTTTACTACACCATCAGCATCCTCCATGGAAGCGTAATGATGCCCAGTGCCCTGAAATGGAGGGCAGCCTTTGAATACGCGTCTCGGCAGACTGATCAGAGTGAGGCTTTTACTCCTTGGAAATGATGCTCTTCTTCATTTTCCTCTGCTGGGCAACCCTGACAACTGAGATTGTACACCAGCATCTTGCATATTCTTCACACTGTGCCTCCCCACCTCATGTCTTGCTCTCCACTTGTGGCCACTGCAGCAACCTGCAAAAAAGAATTTCATGCCCCACAGTTAAATTTTGGCTGCTTCTAACTATAGCCCAGTTCTTGGGAGGAGGTTAAGAAGAGCATCTATGCTGAGGCTTTATCTACAAATGTGATCCACCGCCCACTCTAAAAATCTGGTTATTTGTTTTCCATAAATAAAATCAGGGAGAGGGGAGGTAGTGGTGAGCTAGAGACCATGCTCTTTGCTCTTTGCCACCCTAAATTGACTGAGAAAAGAGTTTCTGATAGGAAAGGAATAGATGGTAGATGGGTGGGTGTATTCAGCTGAGATTTATTTGCATACACTACATAAAACAGACAGAAAGATAGATTTTCAACAGCATATGTGCAAAAAAAAATTGTAAATATCCCTTGTGAAGGAGGAGTGCTGGGGAAAAGATGCAGTTTGCAGATGTTTTTCAGAACAAACAGGGCAAATTGTTACCCCCTTAAAACATGTATCAGAATAGTACACTGGAGATCTGTGCATATGCCCATGCACTCAAATGATGTTTTCGGGTTAGCTGCGGGCAATATGTCTTCCACCACAGGTTTGAGCAGACCTGATCTCAGAAGGAAGAACACACACATTTCATCAGTTGCAAAATATGGGGTTAGGGAAGGAAGCCATGCGGGATCAACATACTCACAAGCCTGGAAGATCCATACAGGATCTTTAGAAAGCAAGAGTTTTGTTTCAGTTTGGAGAAAATAAGTGCAAATAAATGAAAAGGGTTGCAGCTTGGGTTGCCGGCAAAGCTATATGGGAGGCTTTGTCTCCTGTGTCATGAATCCTGACATCCTGTGGCCCATTTTAATCAACCTGTTTCATCTCATGTCTTTATCCCCCCATCCCTCCTCTGAGTGGTAAGGCAGCTGGGGGGGGGGGTTAGTTTGGTGGGCACCATGTGGAGAAGGGTAAAAATCTTCCCTTCCAAGTGCTGAGTTCATATTTGTTTCACTGCCCCTGGAAAAAACCAGAAGCTTGGGATATTGTTTGATCCTGAAATACTGCTTGAAATGGGTTCTGTTTGAAATGACAGATTTTCTGGGTGATTTTTTTTTTTCTGCAGTGCATGCTGAATTTTTAAAACCTCATTGTCTAGCTTACATATTCAGGGGCAACGGTGTTGGATTTTGGATGTTATTGTAATTGTCCAGATTAGGCCACCTAATACCTAGGGTGTAGCCAAAGGGGAAACACAATGAGGGCATCCCGCCAAGTAATAATTCCCTCATCATGAAATTTTCCTTCAAACTCCACATTTCTGGCACAGCAGAGAGTGAGAGGATGAAAATTGTTCATGCTTATTACAGTTATACAGAACTATATTTGCAGTGTTTGCATTCCCTTTGTAACTTTGCCTGCCCCCCTTTTTGGGGATGCATGGTGTAGTGGTTTGAGTGTTGGACTACGACTCTAGTGTTGGACTCGAACTCTAGGGTTCGAATCTCTGCTCAGCCGTGGAAACCCACTGGGGTGACCTTGGACAAGTCACACTCTCTCAGCCTCAGAGGATAACAAAGGCAAACCCCCTCTGAACAAATCTTGCCATAGTTTGCCTTGTGATAGGTTTGTCTTAGGGTTGCCATAAGTCAGAAATTACTTGAAGGCACACAACAATAAGGAGAGCTTGAATGGGTACTCTACCCACACACCCCAAAACCCCCTAACAATTCATCTGAAGTTTTAAGTTACTGAAATACTAGAAATTAGGAGACAAAAGGAAAATTTTTGAATTCTTATTTGGGGGATTAGAGTAGAATTCTTATTTGGGGGATTAGAGCCCTACTTTTTGCCCTCCTTGTAGCTGCATACCTGCTCAACACAAATTTGTAACACCTAGTAGCCCCACCCCACCCTGGCAACAAACTATTTGAATGCCTCATCTTTTCTGATGTTTCTTCTTTGACCCATTAAGGACTCATTCCCTTGGGATCCTGTTTTTTAATGCTCACTTTCAGAGATTATAAAATGGAAATTTAATTTAATTTCAGGCATCCTTATTCAGCTGGAAGCATCATTCCCTCCAAACCCTTGTTGTTGTGGTGGTGGTGGTGTACCTTCAAGTCATTTCAACTCATGGTGTTTTCTTGGTAAGATTTATTTAGAGGAAGTTTGCCCAATTTCCATTCTCTGAGGCTGAGAGACTGTGACTTGCCCAAGGTCACCCAGAGGTTTTTTTGTGGGTTTTTCGGGCGCTGAGGCTGTGTCCTAGAAGAATGCATTCCTGACATTTCGCCTACATCTGTGGCTGGCATCTTCAGAAACATCAGGAATACATTCTTCTAGAACAGGGGTAGGCAACCTTTTTGAGCTGGGGGCCGGGTTGCTGTCCCTCAGACAATTGGGGGGGCCGAAGCACCATAAATAAGTAAATAAATAATTAATTAAAATCAAAATTACAAAAATTTAAAAATTTAAAAAATATGCATGTACACTCTCTCAGCCCCAGAAAAGTCATGGCAAAACCCCTGTGGAGATTTTGCCAAGAAAACCACAAGAACAGGTAATAACAACAATAATCAATATCATCATGGTGGGCGGCGGCGGCGGCGGCGGCAGGACCGGCCCGGGGCCGGTCTAAAGGCCTCAGGGTACTGCATCCAGCCCCCAGGCCTTAGGTTGCCTACCCCTGTTCTAGAACATGACAGCCTCACAGCCCAAAAAATGCACACAAAAAACCTATGGATGCCAGCCGTGAAATCCTTTGACTTCACACATCACCCAGAGGGTTTCCATGGCCGAGCCAGGATTTGAACCCTGTTCTCCAGAGTCGTAGTTCAACACTGAAGCCACTATGCCACACCAGCTCTAACTCCTCTAATGTGCTGCTCCTGCAAAACATACCCACTTTGCCTCATTTCTTCTTGACCCGTTGTTGATGTCCGCTTGGTTTCATGTACAGTTTTTGTCCTTTAATGTTTTGGGATTATTTACTTCAGTTGTGTGCCATTGCAAGCAGTGTGTCTGGGAAGGGGTCTGATTAAAATGTATGTTAAAAGCATAAAAATAAAGAAGTTAACCACAATGGAGTGAAAGGGCAGTCACTGGAAAGACCAAATATGCATCACCTTCTGGTTCAGCAGGAGGGTGAGGTTAACTGCTCCTGTTGTGTCTACAGAGAAGTGCTACTTTAAGAGGAAAATGGAGCTTGGAAGCAGGTTAATCATATATCAATTTTCAGATACTGGGCAGGCATAATGCCACCCTGCAGCACTCTTGATTGCTCCAAGAGAGAGGGCCAACAACAGTTTGCACAGTAACAACCTCTGAGCTTTGGCTCAAAGACAACAGTGGCCCAGGCACAAAAGAGAGTTTATCCCATAATCTTCCATCCAAAACACACTGCAGAAATAATCCTGTTTGAGACTGCTTTAACTGTCCTGGTTCAATGCTAGAGGATCCTGGGAATTGTAGAGAAGGCTAAATGTCTCACAAAACTACAGTTCCTAGAATGCCCTAGCATCGAACCAGGGCAGTTAAAGCGGTCTCAAACTGGATTATTTCTGCAATGTTTTGGACCTTCATTTCTGCTCCTTACAAATTTGAGGTGGATATTATTTCAAATCCTCAATATTACATCACAAATTCTTAACATTATATCTGCTCAAACCCCTGCAGGGATAGGCAGACACATACATTTTATTCTGAGTTGTTCAAATGGCTTGAAGGGGCAGACTCCAATAGAAGTTCTAACCCAGGGATAGGCAACCTTTCCCCTTTAAGGGCCGAGGGACTTCAGCTCCCAGAATCCCAGGAGCTATTGGCCAACATGGCTGAGGCTTCTGGGAGCTGAAGTCCCTCAGCCCTTAAAGGGGAAAGGTTACCTACCCCTGTTCTAACCAAATCCCATTGAAATGAACAGAAGCTGTGGACATGCCTGCCAATCTTTTCCACAACTCTTGTTCATTTCATTGAGTTTCTTAAATTGAATTTTTATTGAGTTTTTGCATTAAAATGTATAAAGTCTGCATAACAATGACAAAAACAACAACAATTAACTACCAAGGGTCAAGGGCCAAGGATATGCATCTGATGAGTAATTATTTTGCAGCAGAGTCATGAGATTGGTTCTCAGCAAGAGCCAGTGAGTCTGACCTGTCCAGCTGTAGAGTGTCTGTCCAGAGATCCATCTGTGAAGTAGGAGGTTGGATCCAGTGGGAGTGATGATTAACAAAGTCAATAAAGATCATCCGGCTTTCTTGAAATGTGTGACTCCTTTTATGATCAATGCAAAATCTCATCGTTGCAGACAATTTCTCCATCAATCACATGCCCCAAATTCTAACCCACCAGTCAGTTGAGAGGTTACCTGATTTCCAACATTTAGCTACTTCTAATCTGGCAGCAGTGAGGGGAAAAGTGATCAGTGCCCTATATTTCAGGTCAGAATTATCATTAAGAATTATCATTATAATTCATTATATCAGAATTATCATTATCATATAGAAAGCAAAAGCAAAATTGGACAGAACCTTATAGTCTGAGCCAGGGGCTGGTAACCTACGGCCCGTGGGCCAGTTCTGGCCCAGGTCCCGGTACTTACCTTCCCAGGCGGACCCCTGCCACCACCGCGTGCCACCGCCACCGCGCGTTTTGGCCGCCTTGCGTGCCGTGACCGCCATTTTGATTTTTAAAATGGCGGTGGCAGTGCGTTTGCGCATGTGCAGGAAGCAGCTGTGGCAGCGTGCGGCGGTGCCGCGCGGGGGGGTCGTGCGCGGCGGGGGATGCACATGTGCGCTGCCATTCCCCCCTCTCTCAGCCAAGCGGAGGGGAGGACTTCAGGGGACCGGCCCCTGGCTCAAAAAGGTTGCCTACCCCTGGTCTGAGCAGTGATACATGAAATTTGATACAGGACTGCATCCCAGAATTTTCTCTCTCTAGGGCATTCAATCCATATAAACAGTTGCCTCTCCTAACTCGCAGGGGATCCGTTCCAGACCTACCCACAAGTTAAGAGATTTGAGTATATTTAAGTCCCGTTGAAATGAATGGGGTGCACCCCATTCACTTCAATGGCAGTTGCCCCTCCACAGATCATCAAATCCACAGTCTCTAGATGTATAACCCCTCCAGCAATCTGAAGAAAGCATTTTAGACTGCGTAACAGGTATTTCAGTGGGTTTTGTAGAGCATATCTCACTGAAGTATGCCTGCAGTGTTTTATTTTCCCTGCACCTTGCACCCCTACTTTAGAGATCTAGTTTTCTTTAAAAACCAACAAACAAGATTTACAGAATCACCTCATCTCATCAATTGATATTCACTTTTGATAAATAAAATACTTGTAGCAATATATCTTAACCTGACTTCCACCCTATCAGAATAATCTTCAAAACCTATCACAGATATATTCCCCCATCTTTCTTTGCAATATTCTATTAAACAATACCAGTCTTTCTTGAAGTTGGTCAGCGATCTGGAGATCTAATTTTCTATGTTTCAGACAGCATAGAACATGAGCCTAATGGATAATAAATAACAAGAAAAGTGTAGTGTATTTACAAGGCAGCTTAAACGGAGAGGAACACCTTCACACAGATTTAGTTCAACAGCAAAAAACTTTGACACTGGGGAAAGAGTCTTCACAGTTTTGTTCATAATACATAGTTATCCATCTGACCCTTAAAACGATGTTAAAAAGGTTACACCAGATCTGCAAGTTCCCCAACTCCTTTTCCTCTTTTTCTTTCTCTTTCATCTCCAGTCAAGCTAGACATGGGAAATCGTCCTTCCTTTCTAAATTAAATGTGAAAGTAAGTTTCTGTTCCTTCAAGGCAGGGGTTCCCAACCTGGGGACGTAATTTCAGTGGAGGGCAACAAAGATTGGATGGTGTCCTTGAGTGATGATTCATCACTCATTTTTTCTGAACAAATTAGAATCCTAATTGCTCAATTGAGATTTGCATTTTATGCACTAAGTTAAAAGCTTTATTTTTTAAAAGTTCAGTTTGTTCACCTGCAGTATTGTATGCTGTTTCAAAAAATTAGACTTCTTCCTCTTTGAATGGGATTCAAATACATAGCCTTTGTCTGTTTGGAAAATCAGTATGCAAAGGGGTATTGTAGCACCTTTGAGACTTAACTGAAAGAAAGAAGTTGGTAGGATGAGCTTTCGAAGACTTGAACCTATGAAATAGCTCTATGAAAGCTCATGCTACCCACTTTCTTCTTTCAGTTAGGACAGGGGTCGGCAACTTTTTTTGCCGACGGGCCAAGGGGGAGGAATGGCAGTGGGGGGCAGTGTGCACGCGCTTACCCCCCCCCCCGCGTGTGTACACGTGCCACCATTTTGAAAAACAAAATGGCACCCCCCACATCGCGCGTGCATGCAGACGATGGCAGGGCCCCCCCAGGAGGCTTCCCTCAACCGCGCCAGGCCTCTCAGAGGCCCGGCACTGCCGTGGGGGGTCCCCAGGAGGGCTCCCTCGACCGCCCTGGAGTCTCGCACAACCTTTCCC